AAGAGTGCATTATTTTGGGATTTCCTGGGAGTCACCTGTGTCTCTCTGGAGAGTTGCAGGCCGGATCTGGGTAGGTCATTTTTTTCCCCCCAGGTGATCTGCTTAAATAGAATAGAATGATGTTACGGCTCCTGTTTGAATGAAAGTATTTTAGTGGTGGCATCAGAAGCCGTTTAGAAATTCCCAAATTAAAAAAACAAACCATGCATTCAAATTCAAGGTAGGTTCAGTTTTAAAAATCGGTAGATGTCAGATCTATGCCATGAGTTGTGTCTGTCAGGGGATTTAGTTAAAGCAGGGGTGGCAAACTCAAATTCATCGGGGGCCGCATCAGCAGTATGGTTACCCTCAAAGGGCCGGTTGTAGAGGACTTGTACGGCTCTCACGGGGGACCCGAACGTCCCGTATCGCCTCTGTAGTCCGGCCGGTCACAATCAGGCAGCGGCGCTGACCTCTAAACAGGCAGATTAGACGGCCGCTTACAGGGGCCTCCCGGGGTCCTAGCGAGGAGGAAGCAGCCGTCTAACCTACCTGTTTATTGGCCGCCGCTGCCTAATTGTGACTGGCCCGGATCGCATACCAAGGCGATCCGGGTCAGTCGGATCTATTTCAATTGGTGGTCCCTGAATGCAGTGGTGTATTGGGGCTGCCCTAGGCAAGGCAAAACTCGGGCACCCCCACTAAATTTACCCCACCCCTTCCTGTTTAATACTTTTTGGCAACCTTTTTGGGAATGCTCAGCTCCCATACACCATACATCCAGTATGAGACTAGAATTGTGAGTGTAGTTATGTCAGTTTTCCACCCTCATCATACCTTTGCATTGTCAACATACCAGTTACAACAGACTTCCAATTACTTCCTGTCTCATGCCGCTCCGTCCCCGTCTCTTTATCGCAGCCTCGATCTCACTCTGTCTCCGCCCCCTGTCTCATGCAGCTCCGTCCCCGTCTCTTCATCGCAGCCTCGATCCCACTCTGTCTCCGCCCCGTCTCATGCAGCTCAGTCCCCCGTCTCCTCCCGTCCTCTCATCTCCGCCCCCATCTCCCTCTGTCTCCACCCCCTGCCGCTCCATCCCCTTCTCCTCTTGCTCGCTCACTCGCCCACCTGTCGACATTAGACAGCTCGGCTGCCTTAATGTTGTGGTGCCTGAACTTTGGCAAAATGAGGTGGCTGCTGTGCGGGCCACATTACAAGGTCCGGCGGGCCGGATTCGGCCCGCGGGCCTTGTGTTTGCCACCCCTGAGTTAAAGCAATACTCCAGCCAAAAAGAAAAAAATGAATAGCCCAATAAAAGTTAAAATAACAAATCCATTGTATACTAGTGTTCTGCTTTAATACAGAGATTTCCCCTACAGTATTTTTTATTCTGCTACTGGATGTCCTGCGTCTAAGCCCGTTTCCTCTGAGCCCAGGTTGTTCTAGACCAGGGGTCAGCAACCTTAAACACTCAAAGAGCCATTTGGACCCGTTTCCCACAGAAAAGAAAACACTGGGAGCCAATAAACCCTTTTGACATCTAAAATGAAGATAACACTGCAAATATCGTTTTTTTACTTTTATGCTATGTATGTATAGCATACATGTATATGTGGGCTTAGTAACGCACTGGAATCTGGACTTACCTGAGACCCAGCAGAGCCCACCTGAGAGTGACCCTGCAGAGCACACCATAGATCCTGCACAGCCCATCTGAGACTATCTATGGTGGGCTCTGCTGGCCCTCAGGTTGGCTGGTCGCCGGGGTCCCTTTCCCTGTACCTTCTCCCAACTCCTCTTACCTGCTGCTGCTGGGGCCTGGCCTCCTCCATCCCCTCCCCTGTCACCTCTGCCATGCCGCCCCTGGTACAGCTGATGCGCATGTAAGAGGCCCCCCGGACCCATCACATGGGTACCTGCCATACCCCCCTGATGGCGGTGTTCTATCAAAGTTTGTGACTGCGTTACAATGTTTGACCGGTGACGTGTTTTTTTTGGCGGTGGAATGTGTGACCGCCAATAGGTCAAGCGAGGCCCCTTCGGTAGTTCCGCCCCTGGACATGGAGCCGCAGCAGAGGCATGAAAGAGCCACATGCGGCTCTGGAGCCGGGAGGTTGTTGACCCCTGTTCTAGACCCACCCCAGCCTGTTACTTGTCAATGAAAGGAGAAGCATTACAGTAATGAGCTCATCTCTCTGCTGCTATCAGTATGCTTCTTGACAGTACATAAACGGACTGGCTCCTTGTACTGATGCTTCCTCACACTCCAACCCTGCTGCACAGGAGCACCCCTTACAGTGAGTTACACTTACTGGTCACAGGTTAGCCCCATTAGGCAGTGGACTGGCCCTTTGTTTAAGAAGTTTGAGGATCTCCTGACCTAATGAGTCACTGATCTGGAACACGTAATGAATTTCTGTATATTTTTAAGACTGATCTGGCTGAATGCCTCTTCTAGGACAGCAACTCACTAGACAGACTCTGACCTGGAGCAAAGTTCATGCTTTCTTGCAGATTCACTTTAAAGTGACATTAAACTCAGGAGCTAAAACTTAAATGTACATTCAAGTACCTTAACTATTAACAAAAATTTATCTTATTTGTGTATCACTCGGCTGTAGATCCTCAAATCATCTCTGAATTGGTGCTGACACTGTCCTTCCTTCTGGAGGGTGGCTACTTTTGTTCCCCATGGTCCCTGTGTGTTGTGAAGTAGTCACCACTCCAAGCTTGCTTCCATGATAGAGTACAATCTCACATTTAGTTTACCAATTTATATTGAGATTGTAGTCCATCACACCGGTGAGTTGGAGTGGCAACTACTTTACAAAGTGCCTGTACTTCACACACACACACACACACACACACACACACAGGCTCACCAATAACATATTATTCTGGGTAGTATGTAATTTGTAAGATCAAAACAGAATATTTATGTAATGTGAGAGGATTATTTCATAAATGTGTGTACTAAGGCAACACGGCTCTGACTACCATGCTTTGTGAGGCGGTCAGAACAAAATACTGCATGTATCTTCTGATGTGTTGTCGGCCTATTCAAAATGATTGGGCAGTCCTAACACAATCACAAGAACAGAGACGTGTGAAGGAACACTCAAAAGACAACTGACATTGCTGACCTCCTAAAAATACTAGCTGCCTGATCATCAAAACTGATCATTGGAGTCTAATGCTCACTAAGCACTGACCCACCTGACTTCTAGAGATCAGGCATTGTAACTTCTTTTGCTGCAATAAAAAGCCAAAAGAGCTCAGGAACTAAAGCTGGACATACACCTATAGATGATCTGCAGATTTCCTATGGTCAGATGGAAAAAGTGCAACAGATTCCCCCATCTACGCTAAACTGTGTGGATGGAGGAATCTCCCACTGGGCCAAGCTTCAGTATCTTGCTAGTCAACCCCGCTGTCTCTCCAATATATCTGAACAATCTGATTGGATGCAGGCATTGTTCAGGTATTTTGAGCCAGCAGGCCAACTAGCAAGATACTGAAGCTTGGACCAGTGGCAGAAAATCTATAGGTGTATGGCCAGCTTAACAATTTCAGCAGATGGTTAGCAATTGCAGCCCAAATATTCACCTAAGGTCTGCCTTAATTGCAGGGTACTGTGCAATTACCGTATACTATCACACTTCTAGTGTGCATTTGCCATTCATTTTTGTGCTGGTACCACAATACCCGTGTTGCATTAGAATAAAAAAAAAAAGAAGAGGGATGCATGCAACACATGGTACTACAATACTGTATGTTACATTGAAAACAAATGGCAATGCATACTAAGTGCAATAGCATGCATTTGTGAGGAACTTCTCCCATATCTTCAAAATAACAAAGGCACCTTTAGAAATGTTTAGCATTAACAATCTACAAACATATACTTCTAGATAATTGCCGGCTTTTTATTCTTTACATACCTCATGTTTCTTTTCTTCCGCAGGCTTCTCAAAGCTGCCATTTGTACTGAGGGCAGATGAATCCATCTCCATTTACTTCCTGGAACTCTGGCACATGTGACTAGAACATTATCTCAGGGGAGGAAAATGCCTTTCCCTGAGGTCTCAATACAGATGAGATTTCCCAGCAATGCTCTGCTGACGTAACACTTGGGCACATTACATCACTTTTGCCAACGAGAACCAGGAAGTAGAAAACAAGAAATTTTAAAATTAGAATGTTTGTTTAGCTAAGGAATGTAAGATGATTTCATATCAGCATGAGGTATGAGTTTTAGTTAAAGGGGGTACAGGTCCACTTTAATTACATTGTATCATGCGATTAACATAATGCTATGGTGTGCACTGGTCCTTTAAAGTGTATGTCACATCACCTTTGGGAGAAGGTAAATTTGTTCCCAATGTACTCACAGCTGTACTTTTTTTCAATGTCGGTGCACCTAGAGATTCGTGCAAGGGTCATATTGTAAATACATCAAAACAGAATGTAGAATTATAACTCGCAGGTTTTAATCAGGTTTTTGGCAAGAAAAGCTGCACTCTGGGAAATGTTATCACATGTTACATGTTTAGATATGTATGATTATTAGCTCGGCACAATATTGTTTTTCACATGTTACATGAAGTGTTGCGGAAAATGTTTTTACTCCAATTCTTTGGTTGGTTACTCCTAAAACGGAAGAAACATGGCCTGTCGCTTGGTGTACAGCCAGAAACGTCTCCTCTGGTATGTACAAACTTGATCCCATAGAAAAGGGACATACAATGACAAAGCTGGACACAAGATTAGCTACCGGATTATAAACAGTCAGGGACAAATAAGAGAGATTATAAACCGTTTGGAGGAGGAATGAAAGTTGTCTTACAGGAAGTTTGCTCCAGATGTGGTCACCAGTCAGTCCAGCACTGGTAAAACCAATGTTGTCCTTCCACAGTATTAAAACATAAAGACTAAAATATCAGTAGAATAAAAAGTCTGGACATCGCTTTACCTAAAAAAGGAACCAAGTTAAAAGTGCAATGGAGAATCTACAGAAAAGTCAGGTATTGCTCTTCCTATTTTCATATATCTTCCACTTCCTGTAGAGTGTGGCTCAGGATTTTGTCATGACCCTCAAACTTGAAGTATCCTTGAAATTTCTTCTTCTGCAGGAAGAGGGGGAACCAAATGCTGTCATCTGGCCACATGCTGTCAAAGGGGATCTTCTCCAGGGGAAACCACTGGGGACGCATTTCTGGGAATCAAACCAAGAGAGCGAATATTTAATGATGTTACGTTGTCCTCATGGTGGCAAATATCAGTTCTGCTAATTACACGGTCTAAAAAAAAAAACCCAAACACCTACAGTGTACATAATTTAGTTTTTGTACAGATTTACTTATTTCATCATCTACAAGCACTACATTACACCAGTCAGGAAGAAAGAAACAATCTGGCCGCACACTAATGACATCAATGGCAACAAGAACTTGCCGTGATGGAGTGAAATGCGTCAGTTGATGGAGCGGGGGTGGCTCTATTTGGCATCTCAGGATCTCAATAAAGTTCTTGTTGTTCGTGACGTCAGATTCTGACTATGATGCATGAAAGCAGAGACGCGCTCTGTTAGTGAGCACCTGGGAGTCTTCCCTGCCTAGATGTGATGAACCGGTGTACTACATGCAGCTCTCTGTCACTAAAATGCTCCCACGGCAAGTTCCATTGTGAGCACTTCCGGTAAAGAGCTCCAAGGGGCCCGCTATATTAAAAGTTGGCTAACAGGAAAATAGCTTAATGTCTGGTTCACACCAGGCCCAGTGCGTTCCGACCTGATTCAGTGCTGGAATTCTGTGGATTGCATCCCGGCTGGCTCACTGCGGGCGTGGCGGTGCATTGAAGTCAATAGCACCTCAGCCACGCCCCCCTGGCCGCAGTGTGACCACCGGAACGCGTTGCATATCAATGCCTGCGTTCCGATGCGATCAGAAAAATAAATAGTGTATGCAACAATATTTGTGATCTCACCGGCACACAGGAATTGGTGTGCCACTCGTTCCCGTGCGGGCACTTGCACCATTGCCAGGGCGTGGCTGTGGTGCCATCGACTTCAATGCACGCCACGCCCCCTCCCGCCCCAGAACGCAGTGGGCCTGCCAGGATGTGATCCAGTGCGTTCCGGCACCGAATTGGGTTGGAACGCACTGGGGCTGGTGTGAACGAGCCCGAAAGCTCAGAGCAACCAATCTGAATCCTTGTTGTATTTTGCAGGCTGCACAAATCACAGATGCTCAATGTTTGCTACAGGAAACCCTCACCACACCTGAGCCCCTATACATTTGGGATCGATGTCCAGAAATCGAAACTTTTTGTATTAGTACAGATACTTTTCCCTGCAGCATGGCATTGCAGTGGAAAGGATAAAAGTTGATCTAACCCCTCACTCACTGCACTTCTATAGAGGAGAAGTGTTGTCACCTTAGACTGCTCTCCTGGTTTTGACTACAAACTCCTCCTCCCTTGCTTCATCTCCATTACATAGGAAAGACATGTTCTGCAGTTCACAGAAGATAGCTGATTACAGCGCTTGAGATTTCAGTTCAGTACACAGAATATTATAAGAGCATTGCAATTATAGGAACAGGTATTTAATTTACTTGCAGAAAATTTACTTAGTGTGGGGAAAAAAGGGAACTAAAGCAGCCCAAAGGACTGGCAAGACTAGATCATTTTTTTTGTACTTGGTTTTAAATATCCACTAACTCATAAGATACTTCTGAAGCTGCTATAAACAATGATATAATCCTAGTGCCTGCTACTGGCTCTGAACAAGCTCAGCAAGAGCCTTTTACTGCAACGAGGGAATGTTTCCTAATAAACAAAGTGTCATAATATTGGCTGTCTCCCAGAAGTATATTATTTGGAAGATACCATAGATAACAAGGAAAAGTAAAATATGTTTAAAAGAGACTTTAGCTGCTACTGATGCAAACCCTGAATCCCAACCGATAGTATTACATGTTCTCGAACATAAAAAGGTCAGGAAAGTCGTTCATTGTTTTACCTTCACTTTCAGCTGGTTCTCCTTCGAAGGTATCTGCTCGGAATATATGGACATCCAAAATCTCAGTGGTGCCCACAAATTCAAATTTGATCTCACCGATTTTCTGTAGTGTGTCAACAGTCAGTCCGCTTTCTTCCCAGAGTTCCCTAAGTAAAGAAAGTGTACGTTCAGATTTCAGAAGTGAAGGGGAGGAAGAAGAAAGCCGTGTCTCTCCAACATGTTACATACAACTGACAGCAGAATATACTTGGGGGTCTATTAATAAACAATTCAAAGGGCCAATGTGATTTTTTATTCACATTGGAGCCCAAAACAACTGCCCTTAGTATACTTTCTTTATGCATTGAATGTATTTTCAAATGTCATCATGTAATATCACAATATGGCCACTAAATGGAGCTGAAGTATTTCCTATGTTCCTCAGCGCCATCTAGTGGCCATAATACAATATTACAAGTTGACATTCTAAATGCCGGGGGCTGGGGGGTTTTGGGAGAGACGGGGGCCAGATTTGATCGGGTAATTCCATTTTCCCATATTACCTGGGAAAGTGAACTTGCCCTTTAATGCACATTGTGCGTGTGGGAGTGTTCTGCTGCCTTGCTACCACAATATGGCAAAGTGAAATGGCGGCAGCACTCAACGCACACACACAATGTCCTATGCGTGCGTTTATTTGCATGCTGATGGCGGGGTTCGGTTTCATTTTTTTTTTTTACATTGTCACTTTTTTAAAAAAAATCTATTTAATTTTTTTTACAACTTTTTTTTATTTTTTACTCCCCCCCCCCCCCCCCCTAATTTTATTCCTATAAAAAAAATCCTCTATATGATAGTTTGGAGGTGATTAAGCCCTAACGTCTGCTCAGACTGCCTCACCAGAACACAGCAGGGCTTATGCAAGAATTTTGATATTACATATCTGTAACAAATAAGTCAAGGCACCTGGACTTGCTGCATTTTTCTTTAAGACGTTTCACTGGCCATCCAACCAGCTTTCTCAATTCAGAATGAGTTGTACAAAAAAATTATCTGGGAATAAATATGGTGAATGTTGCTCCAAAACACATAATCTGTTAAGGTGCCCATACACCTTCCGATTATAGTACGATAATCGTGGGAAATCCCGCGATCGTACGATAATCGAAAGGTGTATGGAAGGCTTTTGTCGAACCAGCTTGCTAGAAAACCTGCCGAGAATCGTACGATTGTCGGCGGGTTTCTAGCCTGCTCGTTCGACAACTGCGGAACAGGCCGGTGTGCGCACACACACTGCCCGTTCAGCATTGCGGTCATCGGAAGCCCGCCCCTCAGCGGGGCGGGATTTCGATGATCACAAGTACGATCTGCCTGTCCAAGATGGGCAGATCGTACCAGCTTTTAATTAGCTTACAACCATCGCAAGACAAAAGTCTTGCAATGGTTGTAAGGTGTATGGGCACCTTTAGTCACAACCAGGTGTTGATGCATTTGCATAATTGGAGTCTAGGAGGTGTTAATAACCTGCCCAGAGAGAGGTGTTAAGGGCCTGTTCACAAGATATCAGGTCCTGATCAGGTGCGGTGCTACTGATGCAGTGCGTATTGGCCGCGTTCCAGTAAGTGGAGTGGGGCTATCAGTATGTTAGCTGCAGTGCAGTGCGTTTTTGCCCCGTTTTGCATTTCCGGACAAAATGTGACATGCAGTATTTTTTCTGTCGTAACCTGAACGGACTGCGCACGCGAGAACTGTAGCCCATAAAACACATAGGGATACATTTTTAGTGCAGGAGCATACGGATCAGGTCAGCACAGAAAACGGATCTGAACGCCGAGTGATTGCCTTCACTGGGTTTATAAGACCCACGCCGAGCCCAGGGGGCGGATCCCCGCGTGACGTCACGGCCGGAGCGCCGCGTGACGTCACGACCGGAGCGACGCGGCGCCGGAGCGGCCGGGGGTGCCGAGGACGAGCCTGACAGGAAGTGACCTTTTTCCTTTACGTGTAGGTATACTGCCGAATCCTGACCAGAAGCCTTGACTTATTTTCTACAGATATACAATTACCTGGATGAATGAGAATCTTCACAGATACATTTATTATGGGTTTGTACAGGATTACTTGTGACCACTTTATAACTGACCAGATTTAGCTTTATTTACTTTTAGGACAGAACTGAAAGTCAAAGCTAAGAGCCTTCGAGTCTAAAAGGTGGCCATACACTTTACAACCATCGCAAGACCTTACTCTTTCGATGGTTGTAAAGTAATTTAAAAAAACGTACGATCTGCCCATCTTGGACAGGCAGATCGTACTTGCGATCATCGCAAGCCCGCCCCCGAGGGGCGGGCTTCCGATGACCGCAATGCTGAACGGGCAGTGTGCGCGTGCGCACAACGGCCCGTTCGGCATTTGTCCCCCGAGCATCATTCAAATCAGCCTAAAATCGTACGATTTTCGGTTGGTTTTCTAGCATGCTCCTCAGACAAAAGACGTGCGACCGTACAGTAGAAACGGTCGCACGTCTTCATTCACACTGCACGATTCTCGTACGATCGCGGGATTTCCCGCGATTCTCGTACGAGAATCGTGCAGTGTATGGGCACCTTAACAGCTGTTCTCCTGTCTGCCATGAAAATGCTTCTCAGCTCTTGAGTGTGCATAACAGATTCAATTAATAAATGTCCTCAAAATGTTCACAATGCTCTTATCTATAGAGCTCTGTAATCAGCATGATAAGTATATTTTCTTTTACACATTTTTTTTTTTTATTAAAAAGGAGAACTATGGGGTTAGGGCTTTTCCTCATAGTTCTCCTTAGGGTAACGGGAGGACACAAACTAGCGTCCTCCCGTCACCCTAAGCTCAGTATACCGCAAGCTACAGCTCGCGGTATACTGAGACGCTGCAGCTGAAGCGGATCCCTATCTAGAGGCAGAGCCAGCTGTACCTGCCTCCTCCCCCCGTCCGTTCCGCCAGTCAGCGCTGTAGGATCGGAGCGGGGAGGGGGGAATCCAGTCCCTCCCCTGTCATGGCAGGGAGCCGTTACAGGATGGAGAAGTGAGCAAACGCCGGTATGTGTTCGCTCACTTCCCGATCTACTGAGCCGACCTGTGACAGTCTCATTGTCACAGGTCGGCTAGAACTATGAGGTGAGTGAAAAGCACTCACCTTATAATTCTCCTTTAACAGTTTTTAAAAGATAACAAAAACGAAACATGAAGAACACCGTCCGTAACCTATAAATAATGGTCAAACAAGCAAGTGTCCAAATATAAATAGACAATGCAAATGAAACGGAACGAAACACTTGATATTGGACAGAAAGTGTGCAACAACCCTATGCCACGGCAAAACCAAAAAACAAATTAGGAGCAGAGAGAAAGAGGCAAATCAGGGATGCGCACTCCACCAGCCACATACAAAATTATCATCTTGAAGTATACCAAAAATGAAAGGACGATCAGCCTCATAAGAAAGAGGAAATATATGCATATAGAAACAGGCACCACAAAGAAGGACAATAGAAAGGGTATAAAGGACATGTAGGCGTGAGAGAAGGGCAGCGCTGGCAGATACAGAACCTCAAAAGGTTCAACAAAGTGTAGTCAAATCCAGAGAAGAGAAGGTACCCAGGGAGAACATATTTTCAAAAAGTTTGAATGGATATCATTAAGAATGGCTGTGAGTTTTTCATTAATCATTATAACAGTGATCCGTTGCTTCACTTCCCAAAAACTCAAGTTAGACTGTCACCATGACTAACTATTAGCTATTGTTTGTTTAGTCCCCCCCACCCCAAAAAAAAAGATGCGACAACCAACGCTAACCTGGCTTTATATAAGAAACATTTATAAAAAAAGAAGAAGGGCCTCCCGGGGATTGCGCACCAAGTCACAACCTATAATGGACGGAAGAAGGTTATATACTCGGATCCATAGCCTTTGCAATTTCGGGCAAGTTCACCAGATATGATACATAACACCTCAGGAAGGAGAAGTATATTTCAGGCAAATGACAAGGAACTAATTGTCAGACCTCACTGGGTTTCTCAGCTTTGACTCTATAGGTAAATGAGACGGGATCGGGGGGAGAGGGTACTACAGAGGTACAAAAACCAACCCTCTTGTGGCTTTCTTGAATTTCTGGGTATGTCAGGAAATAGAGTGCTGCCAATACTAATGTTGCTTTCAGACCACGTATGGTAGACCTGCCTCTGATCCCATGACATGAAACGGAGGGAAAAGTTAAACTATAGGTAGGTATTAAAAACACAGTTATACATTTATCAACAAATTAATGTATGTTCAATGCAACTAATGTAAGTACTTATACGCCTTATAATGCAGTTTTCAGACTTGAAGGATGGAGGGCCAGTACAAGAAGCCTTTATGTATGTACATGTGCAGACCGGAGGAAAGAGATGAGAAATTACCTTATTTGAGTGCATTTTCCCCTTCACTGCTCTATCAGCATGCTGAGCTGCTCTTACAATAGAGCAAAACAAATGGCAAACGCACTCATCAATTCGTTACCAGCTTTACGTGGCGCAGTGAGGCATGGGGGGTCTCAGCTGCCGTTGTGATGTGCGGGGTCCCTTGTGCGTACCTGTGCCTTTAAGGGAGGTTGGGCTTCCTCCTGACAAACCTGCACCGAATTTAATCTTTTGCCCCATGTGCTCCAAGATGGAGACTCTCATAGTTTAGAGTTTGGACCGCACTATAAGAAGAGGTGCCTTGGCGTGGCTTTCACATTTTCTGCAGAAAACGTGTATCTAAAACTCTGTTTTTAACCTTAGTGGTTAGACAGGTTTTTTTGCATGCTGGCTGGTGAGTATGCCTGGAAACTTTTTGCTCTTACAATAGAGGTCCAAGCGCTGGCTATGCTGTCTGACAGATAAAGTATAAAGATCAGTAAAATAACACTTTTTGGCAGGTAAAACAGTTCCCATATTTAGGGTGGGACCCCGCTGACTAATGAGTGCTCACCATTTAATAAAACATAGCGCAGGGCTGGATTGCGTATAATGACGCGCTGCCCGCCTTCTTGATTGGTCGGGAAGCTGGCCAATCAGGAAGCTGGCCTCGTGAGGTAAGGTTACCTTACCTTACCTTATTATGTGCAGCCTGTCACCCCCGGGGCCTCTACAGCGAGAACGCAGCCTTCGAGGGAGCATGAAGCCAGCTTCCAGGCCAATCAGAAAGCAGAGTGTTGCGTCCTTACACGGCGCCCAGCTTCCTGATTGGCCGGACAGACGGCTCCGGCTGGGTACCGGAGGAAGGCCGTGCTCTCGCTGGAGAGGCCCCGGGGGTGACAGGCTGCACATACTAAGGTAAGAGGGGACTTTTTCTTGTTAATCAGGAAGCCAGGTGGCGAGTCATTACACGCCACCTGGCTTCCTGAATGGGACTTCCGTTACTCGGTAATTGGTATCGGCGAGTACCAAAAAAAAATTATCGGTACCCGGTACCAAAATATCGGTATGGGTGCATCCCTACTGGATAGTACACACCCCATCGGCAAAGGGGAAGGTAAGTATAGTGGTGGGGAGAGGGGGCCAGATTGGAGGGGGTAATTCAATTTTCCCAAATTCAACCCAAGAAAATTTCGGGACACAGAAGCGATCTGGCGACAGGTAAGTCGCCAGGATCGCTTCTGTTGTAAAGCCAACAGTCGGCTCTACAAGTTTAAACAGAGTCCCGGCGGCAAAAGTCGACGGGAGTCTGTTTAAACAGCCCCGATGCTGGTGACGTACACTGTACGTCGTCAGTCACGAAGGGGTTAAATAACCACTGGTTCCAATAATCCAACACAATGTCATGAATTAGCCACAAATCCCAATGAGAAAATACTTTGATCAGTTAGCCCAAGTCACTGCTGCCTGATTAAGGGTCACACTTTTTATCATTCAGCCCTTTCACCTTTTTGCGGCTTGCTCAATGGTCTCTCCAGTCTGTACATCGCCACCAAACCCATTCCAGCGACCAGCACCAAAACCACGTTTCTTCATGCCCAACAGAATTCTTTGAGGCTCGACAACGAGGACAAGTGTGAGCAGCTTTGTTGTGAACATGGTTTCTTCTAAAAAGAAATGAAAGAAAGAGGTTAATAATACACAAACATTTTATATTTTACGTTTTGGATAGCGTAGGGAATGAATAAACCTTGCCGGTTTTATTTTTGCCATTGGTGAAACTTCCCTTTACTCCCTGTCCAAGAGTCAGCACCAATAAAGAGAAATGCCCTGATACACAGTGCTCACCGAAACCGGAGTTTCCAATGTGAGATCCCCCCTCTGTTCCAGTGACAGTTGTAAAACTTTGCATTTCCTATGGTCAACAGAACAAATAGAGATGGTGAATCTTCCCAGAGGGGGCATGAACAGGAATTAAAACCTAACAAGGGTTTCAACACTTGCCCAGTGTGTCTTGTAGTCAATGGGAGGAAGTAGTGAGTATTGCGGGGGGACACTTCAGAAAGTGAAACATCACCTGGTGACTTCTATTCAATGGAACAGTGTACTGCGGCACAGGTGAACTGGGGATCCTGTTGCGTGCGAGGATTGGCTGGCAACAGTGTCACTTTGGAGGACACAACAGGGAGCGAAAACACTCAGCTACGTGCATTGTTGTGGAACCGAGGAGCCAATGTATCCAAGCCAGGAGCCAGCAGGATTTGGCCAGCTAGCGCCATTGACCACAATCAGAAAAAAACCTTAAAGTTGGGTGCCAGCTGTAATTTTAAGGAACATTGGCTACCTGACTCCTGGGAATTGTCCAGTCCTCCCTTAAAGTCACAAGGTTTTTAAGCTATTTCAAGTGCAGATTAAGTCACATACAATGGATGCTGCTTCTTGATGTTTAAACGTTTTAACTTCCTGCAGAATCAGCTTGTCCCCGGAGCACTGGTCCTACCGTGTTTCCCCGTAAATAAGACACTGTCTTATATTTTTTTTGCCCCCAAATAACACATTAGGTCTTATTTTCAGGGGATGTCTTATTTTTTTAATGTGCAACAAAATGTACAACAATCCAAAGTTATCTGGTGTCACTCCGCCTGCCACAGTAACTGGCGCTATAGAGTAAGTATCGGCTAATGCGGCTCTGCTCCCTCCGCCACCGCAGCCTTGCTTTCTACAGCGCCTGCTTCCTTTGCCATCAGGGACAGCAGTGCAGCAGTGGGGACATCAGACAGTGGACAGTGCGGTAAAGTACAGTACCATTTATCGGTACACATTACAGTACAGTACCTATTACATTAAGCAGTGCCTACAGGGGGGACAGCAGTTAGTGTAGTATGGTACTGGAGTGCTCCCTATCACTGTGCTGGCCGGAGGGAGTCCCGTCATCCCCTTAATACAGTATGTCCCTGCAGGCTGATACCATCTCTCCTGCTCTTCAAGTTCCCTCTCACATGCTACCACCAAACTAGGTCTTATTTTCAGGGTAGGTCTTATATTACAGGAATCTTGAAAAATAGTACTAGGTCTTACTTTCAGGGTAGGTCTTATTTTCGGGGAAACAGGGTAATATCCTGTTTTAGGGTAACTCCTTTTCCTTGCAGGGTCCTATGGAGCCACCCTTGTGTGTGCTAGTAAGCTGCCCGTGTCTCCACAAACACAGCAAGACAAGACACTTCCCTCCATCCTGCTCTAAGCTAGTAGATAGATGGCTGCTGGAGACTGATCTTTCAATGCACAAGACGTTCAGGGCTGAGAGAGCTGGAGCCAGCTTTTTGGAAACATGATGACTGAGCATAAGCAGAAATGCAAAGAAACACTTTGCTGGGCAATGTATATTTGATCTGGATTCATTATTGAATCAAGTTTGAGAGTTTAATGCCATTTTAAAAGGTAAGGCTTTTAATGCAAATACTAGTTTTGCGTCAGGGAATGTTGAAGACACTGGAGTATTCTTCCAAATATATACCTTCTGCTGCCAGTTACCTTTGTGTGCCCAGTACTAGGACTGATATCATTATTCTGACTCCGATTGTTGTGATAGCGATTTATCCCTTGTGAGACCTTTATGCCTGGCCTGTATAAGCAGATTCAATCACTGCGGACAATCATTGTCAGATAGCTGAACTCACCAATACCGTTTCATCCATAAACTTTGCTTTATTCTGCACATCAGACAACGGGATACAGCAGATGGATGGTTTTCAGTATTATGCGGTCAAAAGATGATGCCTTTCCTACGGTACTATGCAGAGTACATGTGTCCTGATTGCATGTGGCCTGTAAGCTGTTGCCATGACACAGGAAATACTGACCAACAAGAAGAAGGGTGGGGCTTACATACAGGGCAACTGTCATCACATGAGGAAAGGAATTACAGAAAAACAGGTGCAATATCACAAAAGGCCAGTAGATGGCAGCATGTGAACTAGACATATAAAAACGTCCATAGGAAAAGGTATAGGGAAACAATCTATATAAAACTTTTATGCCCCATTGGGGCGGCACAATCATTACAAGACCTCGGGCATTTGATATAGAGAGCTCACAAAATAAATGAAAAGGTACCATCCTTACATACATGTATTCATAAACTCTCTAGAAATATAAACTGTGATCCTTGGAAAAACAATAAGTTGTTAACCCATTCAGGGGTCTTCTACAGTCTACAAAGTTCTACAAAGGATCCAATCAGATTCACACTTTTGGGGCAGAATGAATCTGATTGGTGGCTGAGGGGATAGTTCATCATCCAGTTCAGATAAAGAACGCATGAATACATCAGGAGTAATGCGTTATCACCATCATCATTTAACAATGTGTTACAAGGTCAGGCCAAAAACTTCTTACCCTGCAAAAGACACTGGCACTGCCTGGAAGCCTCCAAAGACATTGCTACACCAACTGGGAGATACAATCACAAATTTGGGCTGATTTCCGAAAGAATACATTGAGTCAACAAAATAATTGAAGTTTTGTGAATGGACAAGGGGAGAGGAAAGGGATGGTGAACGATGGAATCACTTCACCGCGAGGGCCGGAACTCTTGGTCACATCGCCGGAAGAAGAGCGCTGTGTAGTATCCGGCACCGAACTACAATTTATATTAGCGATCTGGACCTAGGATAGCCATCATTGGACGTAACTTATTTGGCGTTTCCGAAACTACTCTTCTTTCCTCTGTAATGCTCGATTCCCCAGCAGTGGTTCAAAATAAACTAGAGCCATTATCAGTGGCCATCCAATAGTTAAAGAAAAAGCAGGCCGGTCCTGTAGAAGAATTTGAAAATGGATCCACATAAAGGCATGACCCTGCTTTCTTCAGCATTCTCCTGGGGGTCCATGGTGGTTCCTTGACACCCTTGGCCCACATCCTGGGTGTGGTTAGGATCGCCTCTTCAAAAAAATTGTCATCTCATTTGAAGGTTCATCTAGGTCAGGGGTAGCCAAACTTCGACCCTCCAGCTGTGGTGACACTACAAATCCCATCATGTATCTGTCTCTGGAAGTCATGACTGTGGCTATCAAGAGTCTTGCAATGCCTTATGGGATTTGTAGTTTCACCACAGTCTGGCTACCCTTGGTCTATGATGTTTAATTGAATGGAGATATCAGATACAGCCAACGCGTTTCAGGTAAATTAGCCTCCCACTTCTTCAGGGCTTGAGCAACATTACACTGGTCTACAAGGAGAAAGCCTCGGAAATGAAAGTAGCTAGATTTTACCAGAATTGGGTCACTAATAAAGTCCTGAGTATTAATTGGCTCCAGTTTCCAAGCTACAGCTTGAGGTCAAAATTGCGAGGGGGAATGTGCGATTATGCTCTATAACTTTTCTGCACAATGTGATATAGCAATGAGAATGGTGCCACACCAATCATTATAAATGTATCTTTTTATGGATACCAACAACATAACTTTCCATTTATTTATTGTTTTTTCAGATTACAACAGATTACTGTTGTAATCTGGAGCCCAGTAGCTCTGCCTTACTCTTAGGCAATTCCAAATCCCTGACCAGGTCATTTATTTCACTCTGTCTAATTAGATGTGGTTCAGGAGGAGCATACGGTGGGCTAAAGTTTGGTTCCGCTGACATCGACAGCTCCGGATCAGATGCATTGGGCTCATCGTCTTTATCATCATCCGAGTCTAGAGAGTAGAATTCTGGTGCATCTGGAATAGGGAAGTCCTCGCCATGGGGTACAGGTCGCAGTGCGGATGGAATGTTTGGATATTCAACGATCCACTTCTTCTTTCTTGAGATCCCTTTTGCAATTGGGGGAACCATGCAAAAATAGCAGTGCCTAATATGATTGGTGGGTTTCCTCCAGACCATTGGGACTGTGAAAGGCATGGACTTCTTCTTCTGGTTTAGCCAAAGATGCAAATAAGTTGCACATGTAATGCAACAATAATGAGGGGCCCAACTCTTGTCCTGATCCCCTATTTTGCATCCAAAACATAGGTGGTATGCCTTTTTTACCACTGCCGTCATACTGCACTTTTGAGATGCAAATGTAACCTCGCCACAAACGTAGCAGAAGTTATCTGCGTTGTTTTCACAGTTTCGAGGCATCTTGGCTTCTGAGGGAAAATTTCACGCAACTGTTCCTTGAAAATGTTAGGCAGTGACACTTCCACAAGCCACCAGTTGTAACTTTATGATGCGTAGATCTGACCAAGACAAATGTACCTTGTGTGTCGAACGATTCTGGATATCATTCAGCCTGGATAGGTACTGTCCCATGAAGCCTCACCCATTCACCAATCCAGCACTGCACCTCTTCAGGGCTGAATAACACCATCATTCATTGGACCCCCTTCCTAAAAGCCAAGGGCATCAAGGCACCACCCATGGACCCACATGAGAATGATGCAGGTCCATACTATTATGTGGATCCACTCACATTTTTCAGGACTGATCTTTTTCCTTGACCATGGAGTGGCCACTGTTGATTCAGGCTGGAGTTACATTATCCCAGCACCTGGCTGAATCCTCAGTGCACTGCCCATGCACCTAAATGCACTGCATGGACAAAACAGATACTGACTTTCAGGGGGCAGGTAAGCAAAAAAGATTGGTCAGTTTTCACTTATCCATCATTAAGGCAAAACTGTGGGCAACATTTTTATTAACCCTTGCAGTGGGGCTACCCTTGCACTGGAAGGTGTAACTGCTTGTTCTCTTCTAGGGACTAAAATTTAAAAAAGTTATACTTAACCGAACCTTTCAGCCAGCTTGCTCTTAGACTGGTCCTTCCAGCCTCGCTCCCTCTCCTCTGCAGCAGTCTAAGGCCTTGTTCACACCAAATGCAGAGCAGATCTGCTCAGGTTTCTGCACACGCACGCTAGTCTTTTAGATGCGTTTTTGGTTAAAAAAAACAACATTTTTTGATGCGTTTGCAGATCCAGAGCAAGTAAAATAGGGCCTGCTGCAGTTTTTTTACCTGCTTTGCAACTGCTCTGCACATGCTCCGCGCTTGGTGTGAACAAGGCCTAAGGATCCTCGCAGGGGCATAACTAGAAATCACAGGGCCCCATGATTTCTAGTTACGCCCACCTGACAACCCAAACAATCCAGAGAGTGACCCTGCAGAGCCCACCATAGACTTTCTATGGTGGGCTCTGCATGGTCTCAGGTGAGCTAGTCAAACCCTCTTAACGGTCAGCCCTGATCGCTCTCCGCCTCCTCCTTCACAGCCGACACTGTGCCCAGCCTCCTCATCCGCAGATGGCTGTCAGTGGTGGTGTGAAGTGGATTTGGAGCAGCCATTTACCAAGGATTAGTAAGAATGCATCAAAATGTATGTTATATGTATTTTGATGCACTGCCATTGAATTCAATGGACCTCCCATCACACTAAAATGCAGAAGAAAAAAAAACACAGATGTGATTGTTGAATATGCACTGAACTGCTGCAGTGGGAACAGACACTATGCTCAATATAGGGAACCACGACACAGGCATTTTAGCACGTTGAAGGTACAGTCACAATATCTGATTGGCATTTTTCTCAATGCCAGTCATCTAAGGGCATATAATTATTTTCTAGGTGCCCTGTTCACGCTGCCTTCAGGTGGCTGGCAGAGAAGGGTCACTCCCACAGAAGGGGGGGGGGGGCACCCGGCCACGCTGTCAGCAGCTCTGTCTGGTGTCCCACACAACTCACTGATGTCACTGGCTGCCAGGAGCTTGGCGGGACGCAAGCCAGAGATTCCCACTCAGCTCTAGGCAACCGGTGATGTCAATGAGCTGGGCGGGATGCCAGACAGAGTGTCACAGGTTGCTAAGGACTCTTAGCAGCCGCCAACACA